CACTGTTGGGGCTGGAGAGATGGCTCAATAGTTAAGAGCACTAGCCAGCTGCTCTTGCAGAGGACCTGGGTTCAGTTCCCAACTCCCACATGACAGCTAACAGTCATCTGTAACTCCAGTTCCAGGGTATCTGATACCCTCTTCTGACCTCCATGGGCATTTCAGGACACAGGTGTTTTTATACTACATGCAGGCAATACACTCATACACATAAAATAAAAATAATAAATAAATTTTTTTTTTTTAAAGAAAGGGGCAGAGTCATGGTTTTGGCTTTTGAGACAGGGCTTTATGTATCCTAGGCTCGCTCCAATTCCATATGTCCCAAGGATGATCTTCAATTCTTGATTCTCCTGACTTCTGAAATGCCTGGGGTTACATGTGAGCCTAGCTTTGTTTTAAGTCAGAGTCTTGCTGTATAGCCTAAACTGGCCTCAAACTTATAATCTTCCTGCCTCATTTTCCTGAGTAGTCAGATTATATGTGTGCACCTCCATGCCCAGCCTGAAAACCACTGTTGAATCAGGATTCTGAACATTATTCTGTAAGAGAATGAGGTATACCAGAGTAATATTTTTTTTGCTGCCTGGATTCTCCATGGAAGAGAGTTTTAGGCATTTTACCCTTGAAAGGTCTGCTTTGCCAATACTTTTGCCTGGAATCTACAGAATCTATCTTGTTGCAGTGAGTTTTGGATACCTAGTCTTCAACTTCAGGCTCAACCCAGGGAGCCTAAAGTCAATTTAGCAGGTAGAAAGTAATTAAAATAGCAGTCATGGAGCCTGGTGGTTTCCACTCCCTAGGAGGAAGAAAGGGAGAGATGCACTGGCTAAGGCTTTTGTGGGTTCCAGCACAGCTTGGATTCAGGAATTATGTCAGAATTCAGTCTCTGGCTTATTGAGGATTTTTCTGTAGACATTGGTATCAAGAGGTCTTCTGAGTGGGAAAGGCTGTCTGGCTGTACTGTTGCTCTCTTCTGAGTGCGGGAAGTCAAGCTCCATGTGTGGGTTGCCCTGGATACCCCCACTAGTGGAAACAGTGCTGCAGCCTGGCTGTGGTGGCTGACAAGGCATGAATTGGTAGCCACAGATAGTCCACAGGCTCAAGTGGGACTGAGAGGGAGACCTCCTTGGCCTAGTTGGATGCTAATGATTTATGGTAACAGTATATCTAGGCTTTCTCTTTAGAGCCTGCACTTTTTACTTTTCCCCAAGCTACTTCTCTGTAAGGCCCTTTCTTGCTCTTCCTAAGGAATGGCTCTCACCATCCAAGAAGCCTTGCTGAAGTGTTCAGTGGAGCTGAGAGTCAAGCTTAGTCATCCATGATTGCTTCCAGGGCTCAAGGACTGCAAAAGTGCTTGTGCATCTGGTCAAAGCTGTCCAGCCTCCAGTGAGAAGAGGTGTAGATCACTGTTCTTCCATACCTGGCCACTCATTTTCACTCTCTACTTCAAATTTATTCTCCAATAGCAGGAAGTTGTCTCCCCCCATCCCCATGGATTCACTTGAGTCAGTAGAAAGAACCCAGCTTCCAGTGTCCTAGGACTCAGGAGTGAAGATTCTTATCCCAGCTTCATTGCTGCATTACAGGTTCAGGTATTATTTTTATCTTCACTGATGTTCTGGACTCTGAAATAGCAGCCTTGGTAGATAAAGATTATGCCATGGGTAAAGC